ATTTAACTTCAGTGAATATGACTGTTTACTTACAGACCATCAGTTTCTGCAAACAAAAGGTTAATTTGGTAATAGAGAGTGCCAACTTTCTCTTATATATTTGTAGCATGTTCTCTGAGTGATGCCATATAGTTGTTGAATGTCCAAAAATCTTTTTGTATTGCTAGGGATTTATCCGTACTAAGTATTGACAATTTTTCTCTGTTAATTGTAGCCTTCATATGAGAAGGCTGATACAAAGGTTAATTAACTTTCACAGCACACTACTGTGTAGTTATGTCCTGTAGACATGTTGTGAACTCCAATGCTACTTGCCAGATTCCACCTACACTAGACTATGCATAACTTGTCACCTTATAACTCAAATGATTGTCTTTGTCAAACAAAACTCGTTGAACAGATTATTTTTTTGACAATCTGAAACTTAGTACCTAACTTGAATCTTGTTCAACTCTAACAGAGTACTGTTACTTGTTTATGTCTCTTTTTATCCCTTATAACAGAATGAGATTATTCTGCATTTAACGGCTATTGACACACTCATCTGAGATAGATGACAGTGTAAACAGCCTCTTTGAAAAAATACCCCGAATACACAAAAAAAAACTTGGCATGCTGTCATAAGTAGACTGTTTTCTGATATCACAATCTCTATCCCTACTCTCTTGTCTTCAAGGGGGTCTATGCTATTTTCAGAAATATTTCCATTTTCTTGTTTTTCATTTCAGAGGCAGGCTTCACGACTTGTTTGCACTAATTGAAGATGAGTATGAGAAGCTTTATGTAGAAAACCAGACGTGTGAGTATGCGATCTGACTGGGTATTGATCCCCCTGTACTTCAGATATTGATCACCCTGTAGATCAGAAAAAGATTTCATTTAGCCAATAAATACATTAAAAATACAATATCAGGCAGACATTGCCCTGTAAAAGGCATTGATGTGTTAAAACATTTAAAGTAGTATAAATAAAATAAGGTCTGATCAGATCAGTGGCAGAGCACTGCTACGAGTGTACTCACTTATATATTCTGTTGGGTATTGCTGAGGAATGAAACCATAACTCTTAATACCTGTAACTTAGGTTGGTATTGAGAAAAGTCTAGGGGCTGATGTTGCCATTGATATTACCATGGAACCAATAACACAGTGTGCTGTCTGTGACCAACTTTCAGTTTTAAATATATTGGGCATGATAATCATTTTGATCCCTCCAAAACCAAATTCTTTTAAATCATGCAGGTGATGAAATTATTTCTTCATAAAGTGTTGATTTTCATTACCGTCTTTGATATTTTATGGTATTTTACGTCTTACTTTTATGTGCAGTACATGAAAAACTGGAACACTATCGCAGCACGGCCGGGGACAAGGCGGAGGGGGTCGACTCTGGAGATGGAACAAAGGCTCCTAAAAAATGTAAGAATAACAGGGCTCAGTTTATCAAAAGAGTTTCAATCGAATGTTATTCTTCACTTCGAGACAGGTTTTGAAAGTAAGAGACAACGGAGTATTATTTAGTCAAAACTATTGTCTAGAGACAAAAGTCTTATCTGATAGTAGCCCTTTTCTTATGTGTATGTAGTACATGTTATCTGTATTTCTATTGAGTTAGTTATCTGATATGGCTGCTGAATTTCTGATAAAACATATTATATATTAAGTTCTTTGTGATGTTGTGTCACGTTATTATCGTGTTCTTTTACAGCTTCCAGTCAAATCTCTCAGAAGATAAAAGACACATACAAGACATCAACAAGCAGAATTGTTTCTACATTCAAAAATCAGTCTGCTGGCAGCCATTTTGTCCGCGAGTTTTCTGGTCATGGCGACGGTGTGTGGGACGTCAGTGTCTCCAAATTACATCAGGTGACGATAGTCGGAACGTCATCAGCAGGTAAAAGATAACAAGCTTCAGTGACTTTAAGCTAGATTTTAACTGTCTGCCTTGAAAACACAGTCAATATAATGCACAAACCATGCTGATAAAAGTCTTCAGCTCAAATTTGTTGAATGACAACATTTGCCAAGAAAGTGCAGTAATATGGTGCTTGAAATGACCAAAGAAATATAATATACTCTAATAGATCATATGAATTTAATAAAGGGATGCGCAAGAGATATTGAAAATTTGCCTTCACAAAAAGTGCACCTAGCAGCCTTGTATTTGTTTAGATGTTGAAATTATATAGTTTTGTGCCTTATTTCTTCAGATGGTGCTGCAAAACTATGGTCATCAGAAACAGGAGAGTGTGTGACTAATTACTTTGGCCACAAAGGCTCAGTGAACTCCCTGCGTTTTCATCCTAGTCAGGACCACGTAGTCACTGCGTCCGGGGACCAGACAGCACACGTGTGGAAGGCACAGATTAGCCTGCCTTTAGAGGTATGTCCATAAACTTTAAGAAGTTAGGGTAATTACTTGTGAATTAAATAATAATATGTCATCTGTTTATTTAGTAATTAAAGCTTTTCATTTTCAATTATTCACAAGAGCCTATTGTGTGAAATGAACCACACTCTCCTTTTCGGACTTTTTAAAGAATTTTAAAAAAAATTCAATGCTAAAAATACTGCCTTTGAAAATATAATTAATCAGATTTGTTTAAATATAAGAAGTAATTATCATAAACTACAGGTTGTTGACATTACTGTTCAAAGTCCTCTTATTTAGTGACACAAGTCCATCATGACATCAGGTACAAATCTCCAATTTGTTAAAAAACTTATTTCAATTTATTAGTAACATGTTTTAGTTTGCTTAATTCAGATAAGATTCTATTTGATCTATCATTTGCCTTCAGTTCAGGTACAAACATCCACAGATATCCAATTTTCTGAAATATTACAATAATAAGTATATCTGCTATGTCGACTATTCATTAGTGTTACATAACACCATCTGTGAGAAAGGTTCTTCACACAATCACGTCATACCTTTCTTTCTCTGTTATTTCATCAATGTGCATCTTCTGATGTGAAACAATATTGATTTTCTGTCAACATAGAAAAGGGCACCATCTGACGATGAACTGGAGCTCTCGGAAAAGGAGGAATTGGATGGTGAGCAATATCCTGTCTTTTTTCTTTTTCAAGGCTTCTTCAGTGTGTGTGCTTGGAGTTGGTTTATTTTTGTTGCTTGTAATCAAGGCAAATGGATAACAATAAAATGCCAATTTTGCTATTCAGACTAATGCATTTATCTTCCATTTGATTGTAATCATGCAGGTGTTTTCAATCTCATTGACACTAATGATGTAGAAAGGCAATAGACAGACAAGAGAGACTGATTGGTGTAAAAAAGTAATAATTATGAAATAATATTTATAAAAAAAAAAAAAAAAAAGCAATGTGAAACTTTTCTATGAGAAACCAGTATTGTTTGTGGATGCAAAATGTGGTTTTTAAGAAGTTCCATTCGCACCAACATATTACTGTCATATTATTAATATGATAGTAGTTTGATGCAAAAGCAACCAGATGTCTCATTCACTCTTGTAACGACCAACTATCACCAATTTCTTTCACATATTTATGCAAAACTTGCGCACCTCTTTCTAGCTTCAGATGAATACCACATGTTTGACGCCAACGTGATCCGTGTACCACAGACAGATCTCACAGGTCACAGCAATGTAGTGGTGGCAGCTGATTGGATGGCTGGGGGTCGAGAGGTCATCACAGCATCATGGGATAGGACTGCCATCTTGTACGATGTGGACACAGGCGCCATACTCAATACTCTTCAAGGTCAGTGACCAGACATAATTATGCAAAATGAATTTTTTTGTTTTTGATTTTATTTAGGCAGCATCCAAGCAGTCTGAAAGATCTGTACCAGAACTATGGCAAACATTTCATCTGGGCCAGTAAAATTTGCTGCTGTATCTCTTTTGGGGCAGTATATTAAAGGACTTTGAATGGCCCAAACACAAAAACTGCTGATATTTTTTAAAAATATTATTTGTATAATCCTATTTCTTCCCATCAGGTCATGAGAAGGAACTGACCAATGTGTGCACCCACCCAGTCCAGAAACTAGTGGTCACCTCTTCCAAGGACACCACCTTCAGACTGTGGGACTTCAGGAATCCTTCCATGCAGCTGAATGTCTTCCAGGGACATACAGAGTGGGTAGTTCTTTAGTGGACTGTGAGAAATTCTTTGCATCTAGTCATGGTTTAAAGCTCAAGAACTGATTCAAGTAGTAAACATTTAACAATAGAGAGTGTTCCTTTATTTCATGCTCCATCAAATGGACTATAAAATTGCTCAGTAAAGTTGATAAACTAACTTGAAATAATTTTAAAAAAAACAAACAAAATTAGGTGTGCTATGTATTCTGTGTTTAAACTCTGTGTATCTGTCACAACACTTTCACGTTTAAACATTTGATTTCTGTAAAAAAAATCAGTAAATTTCAGCAGAGCAAGAAAAAAAGAAACATATGCACCCAGCCTTCAGCATGTGATTATTAACTTTAATTGGTGTTAGAATACCTGGTTTATGGTACAGTGTTCTCCTTTCAGACCAGTGACTACGGCAGTCTTTGTTGCTGCAGATAAGATAGTGTCTGGGAGTGATGACAGATCCGTGAAGATTTGGGACCTGAAGAACATGAGATCCCCCATGGAGACTATCAGGACAGATGCTCCTGTAAACAGGTAAATAGGTTTCCATTGAGACTGTCAGGATAGATGTTACTGTAAATAGGTTTCCATGGAGACTGTCAGGATAGATGGTACTGTAAACAGGTAAATAGGTTTCCATGGAGACTCTCAGGATAGATGGTACTGTAAACAGGTAAATAGGTTTCCATGGAGACTATCAGGATAGATGGTACTGTAAACAGGTAAATAGGTTTCCATGGAGACTCTCAGGATAGATGGTACTGTAAACAGGTAAATAGGTTTCCATGGAGACTCTCAGGATAGATGGTACTGTAAACAGGTAAATAGGTTTCCATGGAGACTCTCAGGATAGATGGTACTGTAAACAGGTAAATAGGTTTCCATGGAGACTCTCAGGATAGATGGTACTGTAAACAGGTAAATAGGTTTCCATGGAGACTCTCAGGATAGATGGTACTGTAAACAGGTAAATAGGTTTCCATGGAGACTCTCAGGATAGATGGTACTGTAAACAGGTAAATAGGTTTCCATGGAGACTCTCAGGATAGATGGTACTGTAAACAGGTAAATAGGTTTCCATGGAGACTCTCAGGATAGATGGTACTGTAAACAGGTAAATAGGTTTCCATGGAGACTCTCAGGATAGATGGTACTGTAAACAGGTAAATAGGTTTCCATGGAGACTCTCAGGATAGATGGTACTGTAAACAGGTAAATGGGTTTCCATTGAGACTGTCAGGACAGATGCCCCTGTAAATAAGTAAAAAATATTTCCATGGATACTATCAGAGCAGATGCACCTTTACACAGGTACAGCCTACAGGGGTTTATTACAATGAGGTTATTCACGAAAAAAGAACAATAAGTATTTTAAAATAGAGCAGTCGGCATTAACTTTCTTATGCTAACTGATTTTATATTGCCAGTGCTGCTGTCTTATTATTTCATGGCTTTTAATATTGCAACTTAGTTTTTGGGCTATATAGATCTGTCACGGAATCATCAGACATAAGCCAAGGTTTCTGTGTACCAAGAATTGATAGTAATGCAAGAAGAGAACCACCTTTATTTGACCATTGGTATAACAAGACTTATAATATAATATAATATAATATAATATAATATAATATAATATACGGTGTGACTCTTCAGGTTAGCCGTGTCCCCCAGTCACCAGATCCTGGCCATCCCACAGGACAACAGACACATCCGGCTGTATGACATCAACGGGGTCAGACTGGGAAGACTGCCCAGGAGCAACAGAGTTGTACGTTGTCTGGCTTTTCTCTTTATCACAGAGTGTGTTGTCAGGGAGATTTCCTTCTTTTCTACCTTCCCTCCCTCTCTCTGCCTTATTTCCTTTTCCTCTCTGTCATCCTCTCTCTTTCTCAGTCATGGTCTTATTGTTTATTCATGTTTAATACATACTTATACTAGAGTAAAAACAATAAAAACCAATATTACAGCATGTCGAGAATCATTTATCAGAGACAGGGCCCACTTTAATTGCAGTTAACATTAGATTTTTGCCATTTTACAGTATTCTTATCTACATCTCTTGTTGTCCAGGGTCACAGCAGGATGGTATGTGCTGCAGCATGGGATGAAGACAGTCCGACGTGCAACTTGTTCACCTGTGGCTTTGATCGCCTTGTGTTGGGTTGGTATGTCAACCCCCAGAGGAAAGACGCAAAGGACGAAAAATGAGAAAAAAAACTAACTTAAAGATACTTGTCAACTAATCCAAGTATTGGAACCCTAAAAGGAAATGTGCCAAGGATGGTTATTTAGGTTATTGTCAAAGTATTTCAAATCTGGGATACTCTGTGGAAAGATGCAAAGAATAAAGACTAAGATGTAAATTGACAAACTTCACTAAGGTGTAGGCTAAAACTTTTGAGAATGTTAAGGCTGAGAAATTGACTGGCTGGACAATTTGGGAAAAGTTGCTGCATTTCTTTCCATTTTTGGTTCTCTTTCTCTCTGTACATCTGATAGTGGAAATATGAAAGTTTTTATCGAAGAGGACCTGTGCTGAAAAAAAAAAAAGATTGCCACATCACCTCGAATTCTGTGCGATTAATCAAATAGAAAGAAATATTTGAGTTCCAATCCTATTTTGGAATAGCATCTATTTTATATATCCAAGAAAACATTCAGTGACATTTATTTATTTACTTGAGCAAGGTTTGGGTGAACAGCTATTGTTAATTTCTGTAAACTGTCAGCTTTGTGTAAGACTTGCCCTCATAAATATGATTTATATTTCTCTGAAGAAGAGTAGAAATATTTGTCTCACTTTGGCCTAAAAGGATGAAAAAATACCTGTAATATTTGTACATAGATTCAGATGTCTGACTGTGCCATTAAATGTTGCCTTAAATATATGGCTTCCAGTAATAAATGATCTAAAACTGAGAACTGGAATTTGTTAAAAAAAACGAGTAAATACTTGGGTCAGTTTGAAGGGTCTTTGGTCCTATTCACATGGAGCAGTATGGTAAAGTGAACCATTTCACCTTGCAGATGGACTACTTGAGAGACTGACTATTACATAAGAAAGCCCTCAAAAGAGGGTCACTTTTTTGTGTCTTTGATTTCATATGATATGCTCTTCTCAAGTTTCTAGCATTATAAAATGCAAACTTTATTTATTTGATAAAAATGAGGTTACACACTTGTGACAACCACTGTCAGATTTGGAATCATTTCCGTGTCATACCTCCAGTCAGCAAAGCAATTATTTGAACAACTTTTAATACGACTGACTTAAGAGCTTGCTCTTCTCAAGATACTGGCATGATAAAATGCAAACTTTTTTTTTTTTTTTTTTTGATTTAAGTTTGGTTACACCTTTTTGTCAGCCACTGTCAGATCCAGATCTGAAACAATTCCCGCATCATGTTTCCAGTTGGCAAGGCGATGATATAAAAATAATATATAAATAAATTCCACAACTGACATTAGACCTGGCTGTGCAGCAAATCCATATTTAAACACAGGTTTGTAAAAATCGATTTTTAAGGAAATTATTCTCAAACAATGTACAATTGCCACTTCTTTGCAACAATACGTTACTGGCAACTGAAGTGCCGACTCCAACTATTTACAGAAGTTATCTATAGTCGATATCAAGTGTAACAATACATCTCCACTTCCGAGTCCCATTACTTTGGCCACTGTTTATAAATAGCGTTACTGTCCCTGAGCTGGACTACTGGGAGCGTCTGGTATTTCCATTTCTTCCAGCAATTTTGCTTCTTCTAACTGTTTCTGGTTATATCTCTCCAGGAGCATGTCACACTTTTTTCTGTGTAAAGGTGCATAATCTGAAAGAGAAATAGGAGTTAAGCAGTTTCCCATTACAGCCATTCAATAGTTCTTTGTTTTCCTCTCTGTAAACCTCGCGGATGAGATATTTCTGACAACTGGGTGATTTTCTGACTTTTTGTGAGCCATATTTTCTGTCTTTATCCCTAAATGACAGTCTCATCACTGAAACCTGGAAATAAGGCAGTTCTGATATGACTAAATTCATTGATTAACTAACAAACTAGGGGCACATGTCACTCTGTTCAAGGACGCTTAGAACTGAACTCCAAATTTCTCTAGGCCAAAAATGTACTCAGTAATTGCAAGGAACTTTTGTATAGATTTTAGCAGGATTCCCAACACCCAACTCACCATACAAGCCTTTCATATTATTTTCAACATTCTCGTAAAATATAAGTATGAAGAAGTTTACATGTAATTGTGTTGAAGGGGAAATAATTTAACATTTGTTTTGGTATAACTTGATGTAAATTGTATATCAGACCAAGAGGTGCTGCCCTCTTTTGTTATCAGAAGGGTATCTGTAAGCCCATGCAGAGGTGTTTCCTTTTAAATGCTTTTCCATTATTTTACAAATTACGTTGAATCTTGTAAACTCTGCCAGATCTTCCCAAAGTGTATGTTTTCAACAAGCCACTCCCTACACATAAGATGGAAAACTTACATGTCTTTAAAGCATATACGCTGTATGCTAAGTATCCTATGCATCCTGAAGAAAGAGCAAGTAGCAAATTCACACCGCTACTCCATATGACGTCGTAGATTCTGTGTTTGTTCCACCTCCCAGGCTTGTGGGCCCAGTACTCCACCAGGCGGCGCCTGATCATTGTAACACTGAAACTTATATCATGGAATAACTGGTTAACTACAATGAATACTATATCAAGAAATGGTAGTATATATGCATAAAGGTCTTTAGGAACCAAATCTCATTTCCTAGATATTGTCTAAACATTTTTTCTTGTTTGGAGAATGAAATAGTACATAATAACCACATACATTTGAATCATGAAGAACTGGTGCATTTAATTAAAAACGGTACAGCAAAAATGAAGCCTAGTGCAGGGACAGCTTACATAATAATTTTATAAGAGAAAGTTGCATTTTTCTCAAATTAGAAATTAGATTTGGTGCAAAACCTTGTATAGAATTAATGTATTACCTAAGAAAGGCAATCCCAATCACTTAAATTTTCTCACAAATGCACGAAACTTGTTACCTCAGTATGGAACTGCTTACTTTAAATTCTCAAATAGTTGAATTAAATATATTTCTCTTTCCAAACACTGAAACTTGCACATTTGCAAAATAAATTATTGTGTGTTTCAGAGATTTTTTACAACATCCTGTCGGGCTTTAAGGTGGTTCTGTAACATATTTCAGTGTGCCCTAAATTCAGAAGAGAAAGAGTGCCAATAAACTCGGGATATGTCATTTGGAACTTACATCCGAACTCACTGGACAGTCCTCGAGGGCAAATCGTGGTGTTTGTGTAAGAGTTGGCTGTACTTTTCCTATTTAGTTTACAATAAAAATGGATGATTTAGCTAACATGTAAATATATAAAAACGATTTTAACAGATAAAAATACCATATAGAAATATATTTCTATTATTTGTAATATGAATAAGTTAGAAATGTGTCGTTTTATGCACAAAAATGGAGTGTAATCTAACTATTAGTATTTAATATTATAGCTTTGTATGCTTATCAAACTGGTTGCATCCTAAGTATGTTTCACGTCAGATTACAAGATGGCGGTAATATGGCATCTTAGACAATGCATTAACTGTCATATCAGGCTTGGGAGTTTTACACCAAAATACTCTTTCCTATGCCAAATGACTGAAACTGGTACCCTTTGTATTTTATTCTGATATCATATGGAATAGTCTTATTAAATTTGTCATTTTAATAATGATTTGATGTGGGTCATTTTTTTTTCACAGAAATAACCACATCTATACATGTAGTTAGCACCCTTCATTCATAATAAATTGAACAGCGTTTTTCTACCCTTATAAATCTTAGATGGTGTATTTATTTAAATTCATATTCTAATCCAGGCCTCTAGCCAGCAATTTCAATTTCTGGAAGAAAATGGACCTTTTTACCACCTTAATTGACCAGACAAGAGAAATGGCATAGAATCTACTGGTAGACTTAATTTTGATAGGTAGCAGTTGTAGCCCGCTAAGCTTATTTCCAGTATGCATGTGCGCTTAGCCAGTAGATAACCACTTGCTGTCTTAATAATGTGTTATGCAAGATGCTAGAGAACGGGTTCGTTAGTTCTGTGCCCTATACATTTAGTATTAAACATACATAATATTCTTTTTTGTCATGAGATGAAAAAAAAACTTATAAGTGAATTGGATCTTATCAGCAATCCCCAGATAAGAAAGGCTGACATCTGCAGAACTATTGAAGGTTACATCTTATGATTTTTCATTTATTTTAAGAATATTTGGCATTTTTCACCTAAAAGACAAAGTTGATTTTGCGTGATGAACTGAAAAAGAGTTCTCTATATTGAGACTGCACGCAGCGAGACAATCTTTCCGTTTTTGTATACAGCAACGACTCATGATGTATCTAATAAGATATAAAAAGAAATAATTCATAAATTTGTGATCAGAAGTAATTAAAATGAGATGTTCAATTGGAAATTATGTAAACCTGTTCTGTCAAAAATTGCGAATTCGTACCCTTACACCCAGAATGGCGTGCTGAGAGAGGAGCAGCAGATAATAAAATGCGGTAGTTGAGACAACTCCAATATTTGACACATTGACTCCAAAGAAGGTTGTGACAATCTATTACACTGTTTCAACCTGCACAAGTTGATGTTATATAAATCGTTTTTGGACTGCAAGGCGTTTACATTCCATTTAATTAGTTGACTTATGTACTTTTAGGCTTTTTCAGGAAATTCTGACAAAATAAAAAAAAAACGAAAGATATCAAACAATACGTGTCTCACGAAAGAACCATTTTGTGGTCGGTCTCATCTCATTACCATAGACGGTATTGTCGTTTAATATTTTGGATCCTAGATTAAGCGAGTAATGAAAGAATTATATTGTCTTATAACCAGTAAGGTAAATTTTCTAAAGGGTCTAAAGCGAGAACGCTACCCCTGCCAGTATCTCCCCCTTAACAAAACCCCGAATTTGCAACGATTCAAACAAAAGAGACAGTACTTTCTTCATTTTATTATATTTTATTCAACAATTAACAAGGAATGTACACATGTACAAGGTTATATACAGTGGATAAGTTACTAATAATGCAAGTAAACGCTTGTTTTAAACAAATCTCTGCAATAAGCTTCAACATAATAATGTGGAAAAGCCTTCAATAAAATATACTCAAGAGGTATTTTATAGTAACTGCCTCACAGAAATATTTTGTCATCCAGCGACAATGGAGGCCAGAGAAAGTGACATAATTAAGTCTAAATATATACAAGAAACACAACAACTTTGGCGTGCTACAGATGCGCGAAGTCTAAAGTGCAATACTGAACGTACATATACAACCAAACCGCCTGGGCAGAGATCGTATCCGATCTAAGGCAAAATCTTACTGAGACAATGTCATAATTCTAAAAAATAATAATACATTCAGAAACAGGCCTACTGTAAAGCTATTGAAATACTGTGATTTATGACTTCCGTAAAGATATTACAGAGACAATGTCATAATCCAAAAATATAATATAAAATACTGTAAAGCTATCATAATACTGCGTGAAAATGGCGTACAAAATGAGATCAGCATCTTGCAATTTCCAGCCGCAACCGCAGTGGACCCATTTGATGTACTTTTCTTTTGTAACCGACGTCCAAGTTTGAGCAGTCGGAAAAAATCTGTCCAACAAGGGTGTGTCTTGATTTTCAACCAATCAGAAGTCAGTTTTCATCACTAGCCACACCCACTGCATCGTGTCCAGTACTTCTCGGTCACTCACCAATGACGGAATGACATGTTGCGGAACGTTGGGCAAAATTTCATAAATTAATTGAGCGTCTGTTGAAGTAGCAATCAACCCGTAATGTCAGTTGGAATAGCCACGCCCTCTTTTTCGAAAACGAACTTAACGCCTTCGTAAACATCGGGCGAGAACTGGCCGGGGAGTTTTAATGTGACGTCGCTCTCAATGTCCCTGTGGCCGTAGCTTGGCTTCGTAGTATCACGGAGGTCAGTGGTCGTGGGGTTGTACACGCCAGTCCCGACCAGAATGCCCTCGCACGCGTCTGCCGTCTGCTCGCTGAACTCGACACCCTTCGGTATTCTTCGGGATTTTACGGGAATGGCCTCTTCCTCGATGCTCCCCTGAGCAAGCAAGTCATGGTGGTGGTGGTGGTGGTGGTTGTTGTTACTGTGATCTGACTCCTCGTCGCTGGACTCGCTGCTACTGCTACTGCTGCTGGTGTCGCTAAGCCTGTGTGTACATTTGATGTATTTATCGTACAAGCTGGCGCCCACGATGTCAACTTCAGGGTTGTCACTGAAAAAATACAATATAAGAGATGGTTAGGTTGTGTGGCCAGACTGACAGAGACGTGCCTCCATATTACCAGTATTTATCCAGTACTTATAACTTGGTGGAAATATTGAGTGAGTGGATACGTCACATTAGTAGATACCAGCATAAGTAGACTTGTTAAATAATTCACTTACAATGAAGCAAAAATACAAAATAGATATATTATAATATTACAAAAATCATATTAACTCATATCAAAACTTACCCAAACATGTACAATTTCCTAAGTGGTTTCTTGATGCCCAAACCTTTGGCCAGTGTTGCTAGCACGTGCTCTGCATGGCGGTAGGTGATTTCACTTGGCTTGCCAATTAGTGCGGTATATTCCAGCTCACTGCCGGTGATTTTCTGAAATATAAAATGAACCGATCGTTCACCTATATGTTCTTAGTCATCTTACTGGATCTCTTAGGTACAACTGTATGCAGGGATACAGATAACTTACACGTTACGATAATTTTCTATTTTTTTCTTCTTATTGAGACATAACGCGATGAAACGAATTCTTTGAGAAATTTACTTAACCTTGAACGATAGGGTATAAAGAACTAGACCACTTGACCCACTGCCTCTAACGTCAACCCAGGACGAGTTAAGTTATGCCCCCAAGTGATAACTAAGGTTTAAGCCAATACAAGAGCGTCCTTAACCCCGCGTTTTTGTTTGTTTAAAGTTAAACGCCAAAGTCAAAACGGTTAACAGTATCTCTCATTTCTTCCTCGCATCACAAACAAAGCCTACTTTGTGACCGGGTGTACAAAATACTATTTTCGCACGTTTTCTCCTTTACTTCATTTTTTCCTCCTATTTATGTTTTTTTTTTCAGTGGATGTAGACAGACGTTTGTTAGGAAGAATTGGGATAGAAAAAAACAAACATAAAGATACCTGCTTTTTTCCACCCGTCCCTTCCTAAGAAATTAGACAATAAAAAACAATCGTCCGTACCTTGTATAAAGCTTCCAGACAGATCAGGAACGCGCCATTGCCGTAGCGAGGCATGCAGGCCTCCGCCATAAAAACTAGGTCCATGTTGCAGGCCAGGATGGGAAGATTGTGCTCGGGGAACGCCTTTGGTGGCTGCGTTGGCATACCGTCAGTGATCAAGAGGTCGATGAGCAGCTGAAGGTGGCAGTCCCAACGGTCTGGTTCACCTATGATCACCATAGCCTCGACTCTTGGAAATGTTTTTCCCGAAGGGTGTTCTCTGGCCTGGAAAATGAGATTTTATGGTATAGAATATAATATTGAATTTTTCGTCCGCAAATAAGATTATTGAAATTAAAAAAGTGTTCTCTTGCCATGGATGATGTTAAGTGACCGTTAAATACCGTGATGCCATCGTAACGTGTTTTGGTGCGTTTTTATGTCAATTTTCCCGATGTGAGTGATTGAAATTTATGACGTGAAACATTACGAACAGAAATAAGATTACTGAAATAAAAATGATACTAAGCTTCATCTTTGTATAACTCTAGTGTCGTATCACGATTCATGACAGTTGGAAAATATCTACAGCGCAACAATAACGAAAAAACTATAAGAGACCAAGGGGAAATAATAAGATTACTTACTATTCTTTTTCTGTTTTCGTGGTTGACCACGTCCAAAAGTGGATAAGCCTCGCAAACATCGTCCATTGTGCAGACATTTGTAAAACCCAATCTAGTCACTGAGTTAAGGAAATGTTTGCAACAGAATTTTAATATAAAGCAACTGTTCTGTTGCTATTAGTTATGCACACGAATAAGTAACTGTATGACATGTTCGTAGACATTAAATAAAAATAATGTGACCAGCTGTTTATGGTATAAAAAGTATTCGTTTCTGTGTGAACCTGCAAATAAATATTTAGATGAAGCATATGTGTTTACGGGTTCCGTAAAAGTTCTCAAACACTTTAAGATGTGACCCACTTGTGTCAATATTGAATTAAAGTACTAAAAATAACCTCCAAATAATATGACCGGAGACTTTTCAATCGCATGCACTCATTTTCAGATAAGCCTCAAACTGCTAAAAGTTTAGTCAACAACAACGGTCATTGCACTGTCTTCCAGCACCTTGAGTTTTGGACTCCAAATGCAGTTCGTATACTTATCTACAATCCCAGCAGCTACATTTCTCTATCCAATGCTGCAAGGAACGGAGGGCGTGTGTTCACTGATGGGTCGAGGTGGGGCACTGACAATATGCTTCAACTCAAGGTGATTGGGGGGGTGGGAGGGGGGAGGGAAAATAAAGTCAACGTGAACGCCTCAAAACTCAGGGTGTGTCCCAGGCACCATAACACCCTACGTAATTGATAAAACGCCAATGTGTATTCTAGAAAAAATCCGCACAAACAAAAGGTTGATACCCTTTCCTTTTGATAGAATGTTGGCATAAATTTTGACATCTCTAAATGTCAAACTAAAAGTTATATTTAGACCTACTAGCGCTTTCGCAATCCACATTTGGACTTGTACCTTAATTTCTGATATAATCTTAGAACTGATCACGTCCTTGACCCAGGGTCAAACTGTTCGAGTTGTTTATTGACATTTACTGACCCGCTTCCTTATGTCAATGTTTCCATTATCCTAAAAATAATTCAGGTTGCATAAAGGGGGCTGATGTTATTAACCCCCGTGATCTAGTTTGAGGCCATAATTTCTTATGTAACAAATCGCGCAGCTGATATTAATTATTAATTATCTACTAAACTTACTGCTACACTGGGTATATCTTGGCTGGTATAAACTTAATTTTGACAGCCTGAGCGTATATATTACTGTCAGTCAAAATATTTTGTCACTTCTGACAAAATCCAAATTTTGAAAGATTATCACTACCTACGTGAAATTACCGACAACGCTGGTCATTGGCTAGACATCGTGACTACTGGTATAAAAAGCCTAAAAGGACTATACTATCTGACCAAGTCGACTGAACTCTCTCATAATTTGCCTTTCCTACCACGGTAAACTAAGTAGATCAGGGGAAATAATCAAAGTAAGACTGACATCGTATGAAGTGTAAAAGGATACTCTTTAGCTTGCTCTCGGAGGGGTCCCTGACCCAGGAACAGTATGTGTTTGTCATGCCATTCTTTGAACATGGACAGCGGGGCCTGGGCGTTTATGATCTGCTCGGGAACGACCTGAAACGACGCAACAAAGAGCGCGTAAGGAACATGTAGCTGATTCGGTCATTTTCATTTGATATATACGACAACGACTAATTGCAGAGCTTAACGCTAAAAACATGCCGCTTTGTGTAGCATTTTGCACAAGTTTTGAAGTATATGGAGGTAACGTGGTAAAAGGTCGCAAGGACTTTGCATAAGATAGTGAAGACTGGATCAAACCTGCTTTATGTAAACTATTTTATCTCGGTCAGTTCAAAAAGTGAGGCCAATATGACCTTCCAAAATCATGCAAGCAAAGTATGACGACTAGGAGAATCGAATAAGTATAAATTTTGCTGAAAATTACCAAATAACATTTTTGCGGCGCTAATTTACAAGGTTTAAATAGATTAATGAATAAATGCTTACTTTGACACCCAATCCTTCAGACAAGGACTTTGCTTTGTCAGCTCTGGGACTACAAGAGTTTGTCACAAAGGTTGTTGGGACAATCATATGACCATTAGCGTCGTACAACAGCTTCATCATTTTCTTAGCTGCCTCGAGGATGGCCGAGCCGCGCGCTATCACGCCGTCGACGTCAAACATCAGGCCGAAGTCGATCTGCAATAAATAATGGGAGAATTATGTTAGTGATTTTGAAAAAAAGGGGAATTAATATTAACTATTTTGTAATCATGTTGTGACTGATATTTTAAAGCTTAAATTTCAGTGCTTTTGCATCGATATTTACTAAGTAAAAGAACTTATAAATACTTTGCGCTTTTCTGTTGCATTGATGCGGAAAATGAGCAAATCTGGAATACTGAGTCTTACTGCTACAGTGCATATTTCAGGTATGCTTCAGCACGCACAATGTATGAGGTTACATACTTCGCTCAGCTACAACAAGCCTAAACGTTTCAGTGCAACAGCTGTTTTACAGTTCACGTGCTACATTTGTTTACGTTTTTTATAGTAGAATGAGTTTCGAGGCGCTGACCTCAAAAATGCGCAGCTGATGCACCGAGAAAGTAGGTCAACTTACTACGAATCCTTACCATCCTACATTTTGGGTGAACTTATACATTTTCCATTACTGTCTATGGGCAACTCAACAGAACAACAGGATCGTATGTAAGCTCATTTTTATGCATGCTGATTGAGCCGCGAATCAATTATGAAATTTCACATGCATCCCTCTTATGCTAACTCCAAAGTGAATGCTATATTAATTAGCGAATGAAACCAATAACAGATATATGAAAACTCACGTTTTCTGGCGCAGGCAACTTCTTTTTCGTAAAGCAGTTATGGTTGTCACAAGTTTTCAGACCCATTTTATCTGCAACTGGATGCACAATCTGTAAAACTGCTTCCACTCTCTGAATAATCACGGAAATCCTTTTCCTTGTGTTTACAAACAAATTGAAGCTCGAAGTATCTCTTAGTGCTTGTAACTGTAATCAAAGTTCTCCTCTTCTGCAAAGTATAGTAATAACTCTCCTGAGTTCTCTTGTTGCTTCTTAGTGCTTGTTCTAGATCGCTTTGTGTCTTCTGGAGTCCAGCCTTGGACCACCTTGCTTTTATACCTGCCGCACGTTGTAAACACATTGTTGATAAGATGTCAGAAAAGCCGTGGTCTCGGAAAAGTGTCATGCTTACCCTCTGTCAATTAACCGACTTTTCCAGCTGGTAAATACAGATACGGGGTCACGGATGAGCCAGCTGACTGCTCTGTGCTTACTTTGCGCGTGCTGAAGGTGACCTTGCCAAAGCCGAACGCGCTTGCCTAGGAATAGGGGGAACCGCGAGGAAGACTTCTTGGTTATTGTCATGCAAACGAATCTTACTGGAAAGTTCTTTCTTTTTTTTCTAACAGAAGCAGTATTTCATATCAAAAGACATTGAATATTTATATCAGAAAATATTGAATATTTTAATATGCTGCATAACCATGTGCAAATATATCATGGTAAATTTTGTTCATTGGATTTGACACGACATATATGTATAGTATGCTGGGGTTAAGATTCGGTGCATTTTTAGGAGGTTAGGGCCTAACCTCTCGCCTTTTGACTGGACCCATCGATTATAAGTTTAATTATAGCATTACCAGGAAAGAAACTGGAATAATCCGACTCAACTAAACCAGAAAATTCCGGAAAGAAATGCTCAGAGGAATGAAAACTAATTTTCTATTAAATATTTTTCTAGAAACAAATTCTGGGGTAGAACTTACTAAGATTTAAGAGATGAACAAAAAAAATTGCAGTGTTATTTCCAGTACTGAATACTTTGATGAAAACCGTTTTCAAGAGGTGGCAAAAACAAAACAATGGCATTGCTCTGCAGTGCAGATCAAAAATAAAAAAGATGAAATTATGACAAAATGCATAAGTTTTCAAGTTTAGATGACATTCAGTTTTTCATACGATATCCCTATTTTCAATTTTCAGCTTCAATTGGCTTTCCAAAGTTCCACAGTTATTGGTGTATTTTACTTACTTTTTATGCTCACAAAGGTAGAGAGAGCTTGTGTGTTGCAGAAATACAATAGAAAACACGCACACAAGATTACTTCAGCTACACGCAAAAAGTGACTGAATTCTACCTGAAAAAAGTATAAAATGCCTTATTTCAAATTACACCCATAGTTAAAAAACACAGCCTACTTTTAAAAACTTGTCTATGAACTAAATAAAACGTGTGTGTTTATTTACATTCATTTGCCTGCTTTCTCCCCCAATTATTTTGGACCTCTGTGGTTCACACGGGGTCTTGATTGGTCAAGGGTTAAACCGCCGTGTTTCTGAGCTTATTTCTCACCACGGTCTGGAAATGATACTTGTTGTCCAGAACTCTGACGTCATAGCGTTTGTTGATTCTGACATTAAATGGGTCAGTTTTGTTCGATGACGAATGCGTTGTGTCAGATTGGTATGTAGATGGACATATCATATCACGCCTGAGTAAAAGTGCACAAAAACACAACAAATCGCTGGTAACTTGAATAATCGTTAATAACGTACTTGTCACTGGAAGCCTTACGTGGATGAGTTAGTCTGGATTGTGGACCCTTTTTAAGTAAATAATCTACTGAATTATGTTGTCGGTCATATTTTGGTGTCGCACTGCGTGAACATGATCTAACAATGGGAAATCGGGTTATGCTTCCTTGGTTATCCCTAGCGGAGACGTCAATCTTTATAAAAATCAAATCCCAGCTTATCCCTGCACTTTTTAATTAAATTTATTATACTAAAAAAACTGTGCATCTTATGACGGCGTCTTTCTATTGAAACGACATCTCATTACGTAGGTCTGTAATGAAGATCGAAGTTAAGAATACACCTGTCTGTAGTAGAAATGGGGCGTGTGTACTTTGTATTAATTAATTAATTTATTAATTCATTCATTCATTCATTCATTTATTTATTTATCTATGAATTGATTGATTAAATTCACAAAGATGAACACAAGTAAGTACCCTTTCTGTATCTTAAAAAGAAAAGAACCGAAATCTTCATTAATGTTTTATGCAAGATATGAACGCGGGCAAACACTTAAATACGACTTAAATAAAAAAATAATAAAAAACATCACAGTTAAAGACATCACGTATCAGGCGACTGATTGTCACCAGGCTTCCCGCAGATACTGACGGCTGTTTGTGACTGTGTTCCTGATTTTGTCGAGTCGACGAATAACCTTGCCTTAATTTCGTTTCCGGACGGGTCTTTCTAGGTGGCTTCATTTTTAATACTTGAAACGAGTTTTTTCCTTCCGAGATGAAAGACAAACCTATCAATGTGATAGTCCAAACTGGTTTAGGGACTGAAAGGAGGGCGTGATAATATTTTGGGAAGGTTGTTGTAAAATTTTGCACAACCTGTCGTGGGGGGGAGGGGGGGGCGGGGGGGGGGGACGGGATCTTTTTGAGACACCCATAAGGTGTTTGCAATGAACAAGACGAGGGGCATCATCTCACAACGTACTCGTTGTATACTGTCTATGCAGACTCAGTTTTCCGGGTATTTCTGGGTAGCATTCGCAGAAAAGAACCGTGCACCTATTGCTACACTGCACTAGCAAAATAAATGTTCTGTATGTTAAGTGGTTTGTACAGGTTGCCATCATCTCCTATACATTAATATGCACTTCTTGCACCTGCACACATGCTTTTTATCTTTAATAATAAATAATATGCTCTGTATAATCTCACTATGTATAAACATTATATTTCATCGTTGAAATATAACATGCCAGTATATTAGGTATATTTTTAATCTACATGTGTAGGCCTACATATGATATCCGTTATAATGAACTATGTGAAGTCAAGATAATTAATACAATTATCATCCAACGGATTAAAAATTGCTCTCCTCTGAACAAGGAAGCACTGTGAAACTTAACCTGTCTGCAATATTGACCACATCAGACCTGGTATCAATAAAAGTACTACCTGGGTCACAAAAAAGGTATTTCACCTTTGACTGCATCCCCAAAATGAGGTCACCCACTTTTCTACTTCGCTGGCCTCGGTGTGTTTGCTTTGTTTGGTGTTTACGGAGAGCGGAACCAGCATGTTGTGCTCGCTTTCTGCTAAGTTCAGCATCGAACCTGCTGTGGCAGCAAAAAATCTAGCTGCCTCCTGTTTGTGTTCTGTCTTCGTTTTTTTAATTGCTGAGTTTATTTTTAATTGTAAAAAAGATAACTATGTGTTTCTAATGTAATATTATTTTGATACGAGTTTTGATAAAGAGTTGTACTTTATTTTGCGCCAGTCACTAATAAAAAAAATTAAAATACACTTTCCAGTTTAAAGACTTTTAGCTAAAATACCTACACTAATGCTACCCGAATCTGATAATCAGTGCTCAGTAAAACATTTCATGATTTTTACAACATTCTATAGTTCCTGAACTCTGCAAAAGGATCAGCTCAAAGCAAACGTCCTTGTATTCGAGAGGTTTGTGAAAAACAGATCAAATTCCGACAACAAACAACACAGAGCAAATCAGTGCATTTCTTCTATTTGTATAAATACTAAATGCAGTCCAGATTCTGCCAAGGAGCAAGACGTCTGGCTAGGCTGCAAGGACGGGGGGAGAGGGGGAGGCGGGGAGAGAGGACGTGCAGGGGACAGTTTATCCCCCCCCCCCTCCCCACCTTCCCAGAAAATTCCAAGACAAAACTCTGGATCTTTCCAGTCTTTCTGCAACGTTGGTGTTGTATTTTTTCCAAGTCCAGTATTTTTTTACTTTCCTTCAGTCAGCGATCGCGAGTTGAGGAGTACAGGCCGTAAAAATAACCAGCTTGCATGTATTGTACATGTATGTCTTCAACAGCTGCACCAAGCATTTTATTTTTCCACTGGATATTTAAACAAACGCAGTATAAAAAAGAAGGGAATTCAACGCTCATTTTACAGAATGAATCACACACCTTTACTCGTAGTATATGTACCTGTACTGTGACTACCATATCTGCGATATGCATGCCCTCGTTGACTCACAATAGCGAAGTTCAATGCACAGAGCTACAGTGATATTTCTATGAAAAACCAAAGAAGCACCTGTCATTTTGATGTCTGGGACTGAGTAATTCTAGAATCGTTAACCTATGAGATAACCAAATCAATACAAATAAACAATTTTTTTGGTCTGTTGAGGAAACGAACTGAAGACTCTCTGGCAGTAACCATATATATATACACGAACCGTTAAAGAAAGTTGAGCCAGACTCGGTTATATTAGTATAAATTCAACCACGAATAAAATGTTTTGTGGTATGTGTACGAGGCTTGGCGATTGACAAAGCGTGATCATCACGACGTCAGCAGTGGTAGACGTACGCATACGTATCTCTATGTCATTAAAAAGAAGGCATGTGAAATACTCGTGATAAAACTCCTTTGAAAAGCGTGGAAACTTCTCCTAAGATCGTTTCACAAATTTGCTATCAGTGCTGAACGGTCGAACTGTTGTCGCGCAATACAGAGGGGTGGGGGTGGGGGGGGGGGGAGGCGACACGATACACAGGATCGTGAAATTGAAATCAAACATCAAAAAACACAGAAAGTAGAACTTGGAAGACACTTTTCACGGATAATAAATTCCAGAATGCTTTCTTAAATGTGCATACCTTATCACTGACAGCGTACGTATAGCTCTATTATGTATGCATGTGCTTGACTGCGTGTGTTTGATATATATATATATATATATATATATATATATATAGAGAGAGAGAGAGAGAGAGAGAGAGAGAGAGAGAGAGAGAGAGAGATACGGACTGATATGAAAGAGAAGGGTGTCCAAAGAGATTAAAAAAAGTATCATAATGTCGCACAAAGTAAAGGGAGAAAAAATCATCAGTTTAACAGGCCTAGGGTGACAAACCAGTGCTGTCTGGTGTGCATTTTGACAGTTGGAAAATAAAGTAATTAAAAGAATGATCTAATTTCCAAGAATAGTCAGTAATCAAACACGTTCTTCACCGCCCATACTAGTGCTTCAAGCAATGGCTGGTCGGGGGAGGGGGGGGGGGGGCAGAGAGAGCACCTGAAACTTCTTTTAAATCCTGATGCACCCCCCCCCCCCCTCCATCTCTTCCCTCCTCCCCCTCCCACTCCCAGCACTTGTAAAGCAACTGTCTGTGATAGGTTTTATACGGTGTTCATAAACCAGATTAATGCATTGATAGTATTTTTGGCCAAATAGTAGGGCCTACGTGACATGAAAGACTCAATAAGGGGGCCAAATTAAAAAAAAAACGCACTAACACGTTTTCTGGATGTAAATGTCAGGTAAATATAAACAGGTAAACCCAAATCTGGGCAATCACGTGACCTCAACAAATATTGTCTTCTGCGGCGTAATGCTTGTTTATCCTTGTATGCCTTTATGTCTTTAAAAAGTAATTTTAATATGGTCTTGTGATTACTTTTATAAATACAGAAATACGCTGGGATTGTGCGCAGAACACAAATAAAATAATGTCTATAACTGGACCGTGACACCCAGGGCACTTCCTGTAAAGAGAATTAATAGGCTTTGGCTGGAAATCAGTGAAACTCAGTGAATTCCTGATACAGTACAGAGATTATTCAGCACCGGTACTGGACCTGTGCCAAGTTGGAGGTGGAATTAATCAAGCACCAACTACCTGGTTTACAAGAAATAGTTACAGGTTAGGACAATCTGCCAGTCTTAGTAAAAGGTAAAGAAATGGCAAAGGTGAATAGAACGTACCGTATTGTATGAGGTCGGGAAAAGTATGATCTGTACTGATATGTTTTTATTTAAACCAAAAAGTCAGCGTTATTGTTATGTGAGGATATTCTGTTTAATGCTTACTGGGTATTTATGGCATAGCACTATCATACTAAAATCAAGTTTACGTAGTTTTATTATCGACAAATACCCAGTATATATAATTGTTTTAATTTGGGGCCATGAATGTGTAATCCCCGACCACTATCACTGCTAAGATCAGTACCCAGCAGTTGTTTGTAATACTAAATGGCCTCAAAATATTATAGGCTTACCAAAGTCAGTGAAACATTTATTTGACGTGGTCCATAAGTGGAAGAAATGCAGCAATAGTAATAGTCGAGACCTACTGTGAATGTAAACCTAGTACACTGTTAATAAGGACACTTTACTACTAAGTCTGTCCATCCACCACTCTTTATGTATTCCAATATGTCAACAGTGGTTGCCACCTCCACCTACCACAAATGTTATATGTTTGTTTTTCTGGTTATATGCCTATGTCAAGTTGATTCGGCAATAAACTATACTATACTATACTATACTATACTATACTATACTATACTATACTATACTATACTATACTATACTATACTATTATGTGTAGGACACAGGATGGTAAATGTGTTGGTTTTGCCTTTTTTTCGCTTGGTATGTAGTGTGTGAGTGCGTGTGTGAGTGCGTGTGTGTGTGTGCTCGTACATGTGTGCGTGCATGCATGTGTTTTTATGTTTCAAGGTGGAGGGAGTACCTCAGCATTGGAGTGACGTGACATTGTTACTCATATGATGGTTTGATGAAAATTTCAAGGTTCATTTACAAACACAAATCGGAGATCGAGCCCGATAACTCTGTTTCCTTAAGACAGCCTTTGATATTGAGCCAGCTTAGCGACGTGACATGTATTTCAGAATTCTCAAACATAGGAAGTTCTCGTGTTTAAAAATACGATACGTGTCAAAAAGGGATAAAAAGGCGAAACAGACAGGTGTTAAATAGACCTCCATTTACCAAGTTCACAATGAATCTGAACGGCACGCAGACTGTGTTAGGAGTTCTAGCGGAAATTGAAAGGGCTAATTTTAATCACCTCTGCTCAAGTGCCGCAATTGTTAAGACTATTGGTTTCTGTATCTCAGACAAAGGAGAGTTTTGGAACTTATTTTTCATATTAAAATTTGAATGGACTGAAATTTTTGGATGTCGCAAAAGACTGCACTGACCTGCAAGTACCCGTTTACATGGGGGGTTTCTGTGCATTGTATTTTTAAAGACTGACAAAGGCAATCGATTGATTATAAGGTCATATAAGCATATTGCTCGTGTGCATATATATGACAAAACGGCGGTGTTGGTTGGAAACACAACAAGATGTAGGGACGATATCCCCTGTAGTGTTGTCCACTAGTAGGCTACAACCCAAAACTGTATTCGGACGCGACGGCACTTCCTTGTTCTTCGCTTGACAATACTGTAGGAGCTAAAATATTTATGGGCCTACATGAGTTGTTAGGACACCTTACACAAGAGAATTGAACCCCCAAACCAGTATCTGAGATATGGCGGCTAGTTCCAGAGTAGAGCCATGTAAATATGACGTTTTATTGTTGGGCTATGATCGTACACTGGCGACCGGAGACGCAGACGAGGAAGCTATAGGGAGAAGTGAAGACTTTGCGTGTACACTCGTAGAATATTTGGAAACAAAATGTAACCTGAAAGTATTCTTCGACTGCAGGGACGTGGACCTTGGACAAAGTGTTTTTGACGCACGCTTTGATGTTTTTAAAAAGTCGAAGTTTATTGTACCAGTCATGTGCCCGGCTTTTATCCAAGACTGCTGGAGCAAGTATATTACTGAAAGTGCCTTTGTAGATCGGTTGGGAAGTGCCCAGTTCATACCCGTATGTGTCCTCGGCGTTACCCAACAAGATACTAAAGACAAGTTGAAGAATTATAGAGTTATAAAATGCCTTTACTTTAAAGCTGAAGCAGTCCTTCCTGAAGACGACCTACAAGCGCTGGATAAGCTGCGGAGAGCGCTGACTGCGGGTGTTTCACAGCCGGTACAAGGTCGGTAGCAGAAATAGAGAATTTGACTCTTCTCTCTCTCTGCATTTCGGAATTTTGAATTTCATATGAAGAGCTGTTATCCCTTTAATAAAAAATAGTTTAAAACAAAACATCCTTAACCTTATGCATATAAACGTCATCGCGTAAAAACTGGGATTAAAAAATGTCACCTAGCGAAAGGGGGTGGGGTGTAATCAAGCGCCATATTTACATTTGTTCTTGACTTAGAGTTTTAAATAGGTCTGAGACACAAGGGGATTTTTCTGCGACACACTTTTCAGTTAGAGGTCACCCTACGCTCCCCTCATTGCTGGTATATAGTCCTAGTTGCAAACGAGGGACTTTTCTGTCGTTAATGTCAATGCAGGGGGTTTCAAGTGACTCATGGACTAAGTTTTGTCAGTTTTTTGTTGGTACGTTGTTAAGGAAACCAGCCGCCTGACTGCTGCGTTTCTCTCTTTCTTTTTTTTTCTTACGTTTTTTTCTTTCTTTCTTTCTTTTTGTAATAAAATTCAGAATGTTAACTGAATTTGGCCTCTCACTTATTGTTAACATATTTGCAGATAATAGGAATAACGAAGGACCAGGCGATGTAAGCAACGGAGAAATAAGTGACTCAGCTGCCGTGAGACCAGCGCCATTAAGTCAGAATTTGAGCGAGGGACATGCGAACGCTTCTGAAGACCGCGGCCCTTCCTTGTCTCCTGCGGACTGGTACAGCCCCGTCTCACCTGTGCCTCAAACACAGTCGGAAGTTTTTCGGGGCCTAAACCGTGAAGACAGGGATTGCGAAGCCACGGGCGAAGAGACGGCCGAAGAGAGACAGGGGCAGGACGCTGCGGAGGATGCAAGCGGCGAGAATTCTGTGCGAAGTTGGATGGGTTCACTGTCTTCTTTTCCAAGAGATGTTGCCTTAGCCCTCTGGACCTGTATATTGTATACAGAGAACTCGACACCATAGCTGTTCCCAACCAAAAACAATGCTAAGAATGGCCATTGCAAAGACTGACTAATGCAAAGACTGTCTAATGCTAAGTCTGGCTAATGCAAAGACTGACTAATGGTACAATGTTAGACTGGTTAATATCACTCACCCTGGTAGAGGGTAGTTAATACTCGTGTACATTCCAGTAATTTAAGTATATACCGATACCCATTAAATCTATTGTGTTGTGATAAGTTTTTACATAAAAAAGGTTTGACAAAAGTTTGAGAGAGATTTGATGTCCATCCAAATATTTCAACAGGTTGAAGTAAGAGATAGCAGTTCATTGATGAACTGTTTATGAAGGCCTTAGAAAATATTTTTAAAAAATACGAAGTTCTGATATGTAAATTATGTCATGATATTAGACCTTGTTGAAGCCACAGTGGAATGCAGATTGTAACAATAGTAGACATAATAATAATAATAATAATAATAATAATAATAATAATATTGATAAACTGCTTCCTGTTTTAAGAAGAGCTCTTACTCACAGGCGCCCCCTGACCCTGTGGGATTTTATTGTAAAGGGGTTATTTTAAGAAATATAAAATTTATTTTTTGTAGGTGTATTTACTTATTGATAACGTAAGAATGCCCTCAACGGACATTTAGATTTAAATGTAAACACAGATTTATTTTCATAGTCTAGCAACAAAATTTTGCGATAAGAATCAAGGTAGTGCCTTGGCTGGTTTTGATGCTGACCTTGCTTTCACCAAAATATGTACGTGTTTTTTTTTTTGTCTTTTTTTAATGCGTGCCAGTATAGATCTCTTGAATGTACCCTAGCTGATCCGAATTCCTTTGATAATGTTTTTTGAGATTTACTACAAAAAATATTATGTCGTCTGATAGTTTGGTGAAATTTTCAAGTCCCATTTACATAAACGAACCAGCGTCCACGCTAAGTCTGATTAATAGTATTTGACATCAGCACAGTATAGCAACGTTAAGCTTAATGTTCATTTCAATATTTCAAACATAACAAGCTTCTATGTTTAAAATGCAATACACCTAGCGAAACAAATGGGTCGAGTTGGTCACCACTTATCAGTTCACCATAATTCTGAATGAACCTTCGGACTATTGCTACGGCCCCAATCAGAACGCCATTCGGGCTGTGTTAGGAGAGCTGGCAGAAATTGAAAGGGCTAATTATAATCACATTCACACAAGTTAAACATTTAGAAATGTTTCTGGTCACCACATCTCAGATGAAAGAGAGTAGCTTATGTTTCCTATTAAACCCTAGGCTGATATTTTTGGATGTCGCAAAAAACTATACAAATTTTTACTAATCTTCAAGTACCTGTTTACTCGGGACTTTCCACTTTTTATTTTAAACACTGACTAATAGATAAATCGAGTTTATCTATGATCAAACCTATCTTGCTCATATATTCAACAACGACACCGTTGGAAAAGTAACAAGATTTAGAGGCCATATACTCTGTCGTTTTTTCCCACTAGTACGACCCGAACTGTATTCGAACGCGACGATACTTCCGTATTCTCTGCATGACAATATATTGACAGAGGCTGAAAAGGTCGTTGTTAGGACACTGTAAACAAGAAGATCGAACTCCCAAATTGGAAGTACGTTTTATTTTTAAGATTTTGAGAGATGACAGCAAGTTCCAGACAGCCATACGTGTATGACATTTGCCTGTTGGGCCACGATGGTAGAAGTACAAGTAAAGACTTTGCGTATGCGCTTGCTGACTATTTGGAAACAGAACGTAACCTTAAAGTATTCTTTGACCTCAGAGACGTTTTGCCTGGGCAAGATGTTTTCTCTGTTACTGATGCTTTCAAAAAGTCAAAATTTACTGTTGCAGTCATGTGCCGAGCTTTCATTCAAAACCGCTTGAACAATTATACTGCTACAAGTGCCTTTGTAAATCTGTTGAAAACTGGCAGGTTTATACCTCTTTATGTCCTTGATGTTAGAAAACAAGATATTAACAATATACAGGAGCTTCAAAAATATAACGCTATAAAAGGTCTTCCCTTTGGAGATGCCGTCCTTCCTAACGAGAACCCAGAAGCACTGGATAAGCTGCGGAGAGCGCTGACTGCGGGTATTTCACATCCGGAACAAGGTCGGTGTAACACTGTGCCAGAAGTAGAGAAATATACTCTTATTATTCTCTCTCTCTCTCTCTCTCTCTCTCTCTCTTTTTGTATTGTAAATAGACAGATGGAAATATAAATATAGACAAATGGATGAATCAATCAATAAATCAATACATAGATTTAGAAAAAATATAAAAAGTCTAAATACAAAATAGATCAATTACTGAGATCACTGCTGATAGTCGTAATCGAAAAAAATCAGGGATTGAAGTAAAGTTACTTATCGAGAAGGGGCTATAATACTACTGCTACTGCAACTACTACTTCTATTACTACAACTTCTACTACTACATGTAATACTACTACTACTACCTACTACTACTACTACTAATAATAATAATAATAAAATCACAATAAAAGAACAAATATCCAATGCTTTCATTTTCCTTTTCACAGAAAGAGCACAGTGAGCTATCTTTAACCTTTATTCTTTTTAGAAATTCATTTGTTGCAATAATTCTATGTACTATTCTATATTGAAACCATCTTAAAGTCGTATCTTTCGTAAAGTAGAAAATATTTTTATTTATCATGGTCCAATCTAAATTTTCATCAATATTTATTTTCATCTCCCATTTAGCCTCAGAGGCCGGTTTACAATATGCATTATTAATCAATATATCATATATTGACCGCGATCCCTTAGGTTCTTTACAGATTATTTCTATAAATTTAGGTCTGTGGGATAGCGCCAATTTGACGTTTTCTGTCCTTAGCTGTGGCCACCGTTGTGTAATTGCAGTCTTAACTCTGAGAAATAATGTAAACGGACATTTAATGTCATACTGGGAACTAAACGTTTCAAAAGAATGCAGTTTTCCACTATTTTCAAACAGGTCATTTACTATATTTACACCCCTATCATTCTAAGACTTGAAATAAATATCATTATTATCCACCATCATTCTAATGCTGTTTGTTGGTACGTTGTTAAGGAAACCAGCCGCCGGACTGCTGCGTTTTCTCTCTTTATTTTTCTTTCTTCTTTCTTTCTTTCTTTCTTTCTTTCTTTCTTTTTGTAATGAAATTCAAAATATTAACTGAATTTGACCTATCACTTACTGTTACTATATTTGCAGATGATAGGAATAACGAAGGACAAGGCGATGTAAGCAATGAAGAAACTATAAGTCAACCACAGGAAGAGACAGCTCCGCCATGTGAAGATATCACGTATGTTAATGTCTTTACCATTATGCATTGTACTCTTCTCCGATGGACAGGGTAGTTTCCTAGAGTGAGGTGTAAATTGGATCATAAAGACATAGAATAATTTGATAATCAGAAGCAAGTCCTGTTTCGTTTTGCCAGTCTTTTAAATTTAAGTTTTACAGGCCTACCCAACTACCTTGAACACGGGCAGTGTGGTCCAATCTACCTTTCGTTGCCGAGTCTGGTAGTTGGGTAGACCTGTTTTATGTTTTTTAACAAAATGTCTTTTCTCTCAAAATGGGTTGTATAATGAAGTAAGATTTTATTTGACTTAAAACCTAATGAGAAATACCAAACTTTACCTACTTCAACCCCCCTCCATTTTCTAAATGAGAGAGAGAGAGAGAGAGAGAGAGAGAGAACTAGGAAGGAATTGAGGAATTGATAAAATCGTTGTAAATTCAACTTATTTCAAGTTTCAATTATTTTCATTTTCTCTATTTTTCAGGGGACAGGGCCGAGACGCTGTGGAGGATGGAAGCGGCGAGAATTCTGTGCAAGGTTGGATGGGTTCACTGTCATCTTTTCTTAGAGATGTTGCCCCAGCCATCTGGACCTGTATATTGTATACTGAAAACTCGACACCACAGCTGTTCCCTGCCAAAAACAATGCTAAGAATGGCCATTGCAAAGACTGACTAATGCTAAGTCTGGCTAATGCAAAGACTGACTAATGGTACAATGTTAGACTGGTTAATACCTATCTTATCTATCTAGCTAGAGACATATCTGTGAATATCTGTAAAAAATCTATCACTTACCCTGGTAGAGGGTAGTTAATACTCGTGTACATTCCAGTAATTTAAGTATATACCGAGACCCATTAAATCTATTGTGTTGTGATAAGTTTTTACATAAAAAAGGTTTGGCAAAAGTTTGAGAGAACTTTGATGTCCATCCAAATATTTCAACAGGTTGAAGTAAGAGATAGCAGTTCATTGATGAACTGTTTATGAAGGCCTTAGAAAATATTTTTAAAAAATACGAAGTTCTGATATGTAAATTATGTCATGATATTAGACCTTGTTGAAGCCACAGTGGAATGCAGATTGTAACAATAGTAGAAATAATAATAATAATAATAATAATAATAATATTGATAAATTGCTTCCTGTTTTAAGAAGAGCTCTTACTCACAGACGACCCCTGACCCTGTGGGTTTTTATTGTAAAGGGGTTATTTTAAGAAATATAAAATTTATTTTTTGTAGGTGTATTTACTTATTGATAACGTAAGAATGCCCTCAACGGACGTTTAGATTTAAATGTAAACACAGATTTATTTTCATAGTCTAGCAACAAAATTTTGCGATAAGAATCAAGATAGTGCCTTGGCTGGTTTTGATGCTGACCTTGCTTTCACCAAAATATGTACGTATTTTTTTTTGTCTTTTTTTTTAATGCGTGCCAGTATAGATCTCTTGATTGTACCCTAGCTGATCCGAATTCCTTTGACAATGTTTTTTGAGATTTTCTACAAAAAATATTATGTCGTCTGATAGTTTGGTGAAATTTTCAAGTCTCATTTACATAAACGAACCAGCGACCACGCTACGTCTGATTAATAGTATTTGACATCAGCACAGTATAGCAACGTTAAGCTTAATGTTCATTTCAATATTTCAAACATAACAAGCTACTATGTTTAAAATGCAATACTTAGCGAAACAAACGGGTATACTGTAGAGTTGGCCACCGTTTATCAGTTCACCATAATTCTGAAAGAACCTTCGGACTATTGCTACGGCCCCAATCAGAACGCCATTCGGGCTGTGTTAGGAGAGCTGCCGGAAATTGAAAGGGTTAATTATGATCACATTAACACAAGTAACACAGTAACAATTATTTTTGGTAACCACATCTCAGATGAAAGAGAGTTTTGTAGCTTATGTTTCGTATTAATCCCTAGGATGTCGCAAAATAATCTCTAAGTACCCGTTTACGCCGGGACTTTTTATTTTTAACACTGACTAATGCGATAGATCGAATTTCAACTGTTACCAAAGCTTATATTGCTCGTATATTAAACAGCGACACCGTTGGAAAAGTAACAAGATTTAGAGGCAATATTCTCTGTCGTTTTTCCACTACTTCAACCCAAGCTGTATTTGGACGCGACTATAGCCTACATAGGCCTACTTCCGCGTTCTCTGCCTGTCTTTATATTGACAGAGGTCGAAAAACGCATTGTTAGGACACCGTAAACAAGAAGATTGAACTTCCAAGCCAGAAGTATTGCGGTTTTGAGAGATGACAGCAAGTTCCAGACAGCCATACGTGTATGACGTTTGCCTGTTGGGCCACGATGGTAGAAGTACAAGTAGAGATTTTGCGTATGCGCTCGCTGACTATTTGAAAACAGAATGTTACCTAAAAGTATTCTTCGACCTCAGCGACGTTTTGCCTGGGCAAAATGTTTTCACTGTTATTGATGCTTTCGAAAAGTCAAAGTTTATTGTTGCAGTGATGTGTCGAGCTTTCATCGAAGACCGCTGGAACAATTATACTGCTGAAAACGCCTTTCTAACTCGGCTGAAAACTGATAGGTTTATACCTCTTTATGTCCTTGATGTTAGCAAAGAAGATATTAACAATATAAAGGAGATTAAAAAATATAACGTTACAACAGGTCTTCCCTTTGGAGATGCCGCCCTTCCTAACGAGAACCCAGAAGCACTGGATAAACTGCGGAGAGCGCTGACTGCGGGTATTTCACAGCCGGAACAAGGTCGGTGTCATACTGTAGCCGAAGTAGAGACATATAGGCCTACTCTTATTACTCTCTCTCTTTCTCTCTCTCTCTCTCTTCACAACTGGGTGAATAAATAAATAAATAAGGTTAAATACAAAATAGATCTATTACTCAGTCTTACTCAGATCACTGCTACATGTAATAGTCGTGATCGCGAAAATCTGGGACTGCAGAAGAGTTGCTTTGCGAGTAGGGGCTATAATATTACTCCTACTAATACATCTACTATTAATTATAATGATAATGTTCATTATCTAAATAGTGGTTGGATTAAGAATAACATAAATTGTTTTAACAATAATGATATAACTATTGTTAATATATAGCTAATAAGTTAATGCAGGCCTACTTAAAAAAATGACTGAATGAGAATAAGATTAATAAAATTGGTTGGGTTGGGTTTGCTTTATTCACCTTTGTTCTTGACTTACTGAGACGCAAGGGGATTTTTCTTCCTCACACATGTGCATTGTTTGTAGGAACTATAGCACATGAAATCGCACAATGCAAGGGGCTTTTTTTGTTATTGTCAAAAAGGGGGTTTCACTGAGTCATGGTCTGGTGCTAACCCCCTTTTTAAAATAATGTTTTTCCGTAATAAAAAATAACCCTACCATGCAACGTCAAAATGATAAATTTAAACAAATGTAAATGAGCATTATTTTTTAAAGACCAACGTGTTATTTTGTCGGGAAAAGTGACCGACGATGTTCCCATCTTTATCAATGGATAATGAATCTGTACCAACATTCAAAATAAGTCGATTGCTTATTATTATAATTATTTTTATCCCCCTTTTATTATAATTTTTTAACAATCTCATCATTACCAAAAAACCTCTGACCCATAATAGTCTTCTAAGAACAATGGAGGGCACGTAGTCCGATGAAAAACGTGACAAGAATTATTGCAATAAAGCCACCGCTCACTGTCAATACAGGGGGTTCAAATGACTCTTGGGCGGAGTTTTGTCACCTATTTGTTAGCCGGCCTACGTTGTTGAGGAAACGATCTTGTTTTCTTTTAATCTTTTCTATTTTTCTTTCTTTCTTTTTGTAAAAAATTCAGAATGTTAACTGAATTTGGCCTCTCACTTATTGTTAATGTATTTACAGATGACAGGAATAACGGAGGACAAGGCGATGTAAGCAACGAAGAAACTATAAGTGAACCACAGGAAGAGACAGCTCCGCCATGTGACGTCAATTCTCCACGCGATGACACCACGTATGTTAACATATAACTAGTATGTTAATGTATAACTAGTCCGCGGACCAAATATTATGGTGCGACTCACTTTTAAAAGCGAGATTTAACTGCTCTGCCCCTACTGGGACAGCGCGTGTGGGAACCGGGAATCCTTAACCAAGTGCGCCCTATATTTGATACGGGATCTAGTTATTCTGCAGATCAGCTGGTTGTGAACACGGCCTTAATACTTTTAAAATTTATTTATTTATTTATTTATTTATTTATTTATTTATTTATTTATTTTTTGCCTTGGTTCACGCATGTATTGTACTCCCCTCCGATGGAAGGGGTAATCACTTTAATTGAGAGCTGAATGAGGTGTAAATTGGATCATACATGTAATTATATAAAAATAATTTGATTATCCAAGTCATAAAGATACAGATATAGGCACATACAGAGGGCTAGAGGGAGATCCCCCCTTCCTCCTGTTTCATTTTGTTAATTTTCAATTTAAAAAATCATTTCTTTTAACAAAATGGCTTTTCTAACTGTGACTTTCTGTACGGTGACGCGAGATTTTATTTCACTTAAAAACTAATGAAAAATGCCAAATTTCAGCTATTTTGACCCCCCTCCCATTTATTAAACAAGAGAGAGAGAGAGAGAGAGAGAGAGAGAGAGATCTAGGAAGGAATTGATAAAATGGTTGTTATTTCAGCTTATTTCAAGTTTCATTTATTTTCATTTTCTATATTTTTTTCAGGGGTGGCCAACCTCCCCCTCTTCTCCAGAGACAGTCTGGCCGCGTGGAATGCCAACAAGAGGTATATAGATGTAGCTTTATGAACAATAGTTAATTCCGGTTTAATTACGTGATATTCTACCCTGAATATTAAAGTTGCACGACAAATTTGTGGGCTGGGATTTTTTACGTTTTGGTTACATTGCATTTTCTCCGCCCATGAGGTTATGTTTTCACCCCTGTTTGTCTGTCTGTCTGTTTGATTGTTTGTCATCAACATAACTCAAAAAGTTATGGACCAATTTTGATGAAATTTTCAGGGTAGGTCAGAAATGGGTTAACTTAGAAGTGATTAGTTTTTGGTGTTGATCCGGGTCAATAATCAATCATAATCAATAATAATCAAAAATCGCTGCCTTGGCGGAGGTCTGCGCTCTCGGAGTGCTTTTCTAGTTCGTATTTGTTTTGCTCTTCTTCTGATACGAGTCCCAAATATGTATATCACCCAAATACACTTGAATAACATATGTCGTCATTTCAACATATACATTCTAAAACATAATATTTGCAATAGAACAAAATATATTGAATAATTTATTATTCTTTTCAAAACAAGGGAGACGAAGGCCCAGATGGACCACACTTCAGCGAAGAAACTGTGGAAGGGCAACCTCAACCGGGTTCTAGTTCTCTCGGTGGCAATGGCCTCCCGAGTCAGGACTCCCCACCACCACCACCACCACCAACACCACCACCACCACCACCACCACTAGCGCTTGTTGACACAAGTCACATCCGTGACTCCGGATTTGCGGACGCTCCTGAAGACCGCGGTCCGCCCTCGCCCCCTGCGGCCTGGTACAGCCCCGTCTCGCCTATGCCTCAAACACAGTCGGAAGTTTTTCAAGGCCTAAACCGTGAAGACAGGGATTGCAAAGCCATGGGCGAAGAGACGGCCGAAGAGGGACAGGAGCAAGCGAATGCTGTGGAGGATGCAAACGGCGAGAATTCTGTGCAAGGTTGGATGGGTTCATTGTTCTCTTTTCTAAGAGGTGTTGCCCCAGCTCTCTGGACCTTTATATTGTGTACAGAGAACTCGACACCACAGCTGTTCCCGGCAAAAACAAGTGCCAAGAATGACCATTGCAAAGACTGACTAATGCTAAGACTGGGTTATGTTAAGACTGGCTAAGGGTAAGACTGGCTAATGTTAAGACTGGCTAATGCTAAGGCTGAGTTATGTTAAGACTGACTAATTCTAAGACTGGCTTATGTTAAGACTGACAAATGATAAGACTGGCTAATGTTAAGACTGCCTAATGCTAAGGCTGAGTTATGTTAAGACTGACTACTTCTAAGACTGGCTTATGTTAAGACTGACAAATGATAAGACAGGCTAATGTTAAGACTGGCTTATGTTAAGACTGACTATGATAAGACTGGCTAATGTTAAGACTGGCTAATGTCAAGACTGAGTTATGTTAAGACTGACTAATGATAAGACTGGCTAATGTTAACGTTAAGACTGGTTTATGTTAAGACTTACTGATGCTAAGACTGGCTAATGCAAAGACTGACTTATGCTAAGACTGACTAATGCTAAGACTGGCTAATACTCGTGTACTTCCCTGTGATTCATTATAGCCAGAGACCCATCAAATCCATTGCGTCATATTTTTTACTAAAAAAATTGGCAGAAATGTGAGATAGGTTTGATGTTCAAGTGGAATGAAACGAAGAGAGGACAGTTCAATGATAATCTATTTATGATGTCCTCTGACGACGCAGAAATTATTTTAAAAAAATGAAATTGTGATGAAGCAGCTATGAAATGCAAAACTATGGGACAGTGCCAATAATAATAATAATAATGCAATTTCTAATCAGAGCACAATATGTATATTATATTTTGATACGGGGGGGGGGGGGGAGGGGGGTACCTCACACACTGTTGACCCACAGGCACCCCCTGACCCTGTGGGGTTTTCATTGTAAAGGGATAATTAAAAAATAAATTTTTTATATATTTGTAGGGTTTATATTTACTTATTGATTAAGTAAGAATGCCCTCAAATGGCGTTATGATTTAAATGGTAACGCAGACTCCCTTTCATGGTCAAGCGACAAAAGTTTGCGATGAGAAATGAGGAAGTGCATTGACCGGTTTTGATGCTGACCGTGCCTTCATCACAATATGCACGTGTTTTTTTTATTTCAATTGTGTTTTTTATATACTGATCATGATGTATCGCTAGGATGTAGCCGATCCGAAATCCTTTGACACTGCAGTGATTTCTGTCATTTTCTAGAAGATAATTTGCCCCGAGATGCCTGTACAGAGCAAAAGTTGCCTCTGCCTCAAGGAAGAGAAATTTATGTGAAAAATATGCTCAAGTTTTTTTCAGTTCGGAAGTCTGTTTAGTGAACTTCGTGGACAAATAATCATTTCGTTTGACGTAAAAGGCTTTGAAGACGTAAAAATTACTTTTGTTGCTCATCTTATAAGCAGACAGCATAACAATACATTTAAGGTGACTGATAGTAAAAGGACCAAAGTCATAGAAACANCTTCAAAATCTTACGAGCGCTCACTCCAGGTAGATATTCTCTCGCTGCATCCGACTGAACAAATACCGGTTTTCCTCCAACCGCCCACATACTCTCAAATTTTTCTTTCTTTCCTCTGGAAATTGATTTAAACACGAACTTTTCTCTTCCCCATAGTGTACTCGACTTTTTCACTGCTAATGTAAGACTAATGACCTATCACCGCACACGTAATCGGCTTATAACTCATTAACTATGCTCCGCCCCCCTCATGGCAACGGCCCTTAGCAACAGAGTTGTCAGCCTGACTGGGGCGCGTGCCGGTTGAAATACTCATCAAAAGACACATTTTGCGGTGCCAATTCAAAATAATTATTACATCCAACGTTAGATACTTTTATGATTAATAGAAACACACAAAAAACTCAAAAACATGATTTTAAGCGTAGTTAACCCTATCAGTCACCTTAACGATGTCTAGCTTTTCTACGTTTGATTGAAGTACAAAGAACGGTGTGATATCATCTTCACGTGTAATGTTAAGCTAGAGTAAGTTTTATAAAGAAATTACTATTAGCAGAGCTAGTTTTCGTTCCTAGGACCTCGGGGTTATGGGCCCCGCACGCTTCCACTGAGCCACTCTGCTCACACTTAACACATAAGCACTATCCGTCTAACGGTTGCGCAGCACAAAAGATGTGTTGTGACGACTTTGCCTAAGTTACAAATGTATTCACACCATAATTTGGACTCTTTACTTTAAAATTATACTTGGTTATCAGTACAGACTTCTTTAATGCCGCAGTATATGAGGAAATATCACATGCTAGCGACAACGTTAAGGGTTTGAAATTAGCTATGAATTATAAATTATTAAAATAACATTCAAATCTTTCTGACAATAGTTATTGTTACAATTTACTCCTTTATCTAAAAAAAATGACGTTTAAATTCCAGGATCTAAATGCAACTTTACATGACTCGATTTTTCCCATTCATTTCTTCACACTTATATCGATCTCGCATTGATTAATTAAATAGATAACAATGACGACCTCTGTAAAACCCCGTGAAACCAACATATCGATGTCAACCAGTATTTAACCAAAATCAAGTCCTGATCTACTTATTCCTGGTCCTTATGAATCTTTATAATCCTGATCTGGACAGGTTTGAAGACGTTAAACTACACTGTACCTGACTTTGTCTGCAGTAAGTGTAACACTATTTAACGATATATAACTTTTCTACGTTTGATTTGAAGTAAAAGAATAAACGATGTGAAATTATTTTCAAAAGATTTTAATGATAAGCTACCATAAGTTAAAAAAAGCAAACATTTTTGAGTAGCAGAGCTAGGTTTCGATCCTAGGACCTCGGGGTTATGGGCCGCTTCCACTGCGCCACTCTGCTCCCGATAACAGCAATTATGCTGCCTGTATAACGGATGACCAGCACAAAAGATGTGTTTGTCACGACTTTGCCAATGATATATATCTTCCATAATTTGAACTTATTACTTTAAAATTATACTTGGGTTTCAATACATACCCCTCTAATGTCGTCACATATGAGAAAACATCATAATATTTTATGATAGCGACAACATTAGGAGAGTGCAACTAGCTATTTTTTCTAAATTAATAAAATAACATTTAAATCTCTCTGTTACAAATTAATACATGTAGTTATTGTCACTATGTACTGGTATCTGAAAAGCGTTGTATATTTTCAAATATACATATACATGCAACTTAATATGATTTACTTTGACTCACTTCCACGATCCATTCTTCACACAAATATTGATCGCCTCATTGAAAAAAAAACATAAAAACAATGATGGCCTCTATAAAACCCTTTGATGGCAAAATTTCTGTGTCGACCCGTATATAACAAAAGTCAAGTCAATTCACAATCTTATTTAAAGCTAAAGGTTTAGTAACTTATGGACAGATGTCTTTATTCCTGGTCTTTGTGGGTCTTGAAACGATCTAACATCCTTGATAAGTGTGCAACATAAGCAGTGTGTTACGCATGTGGCATTATAGGGTGCCGTAGCAGGGAAAACTCCAAGCCAATGTGCAAAGTTCAAATCCGTTTTTTCACATACATCAGATTGTGGATATAGACGATCTTATACATGATACTGTGCTTTTTTCCTCTTCTTTTGGGGAGGCCCGAAGGCTGGATAAACAATGATGCGCTGGAAAGGGGAACACGCCCTGTAACAGAGACGCCAAGATGTAACAGATGTCTGTTAAAAATTCATCTGTGACCTTATTTGGCATATTGAACGTCGCGTGGGTTATAACTTACAACTAACACATTTCTATGGTCTTTGCAGTGGAGAGACGCCAGTCCATATATTCTTCAGATTTCCGAGGGTGTACAGTGTATGAGATGTTCAGGTAGGTGGTTCATTTTCAAATCAGTTCTGTCCTTTTTATCCACGCGTTCATTGAAGAGTGATAGACTTAAGCTAAATTGAATCAACTTTATCAGTGGACTTCAAACAGAAGTTCATTGCACATAACAGAAAAATAGATTGGTATTAAAGAAGAAGGGGGCGATTTATTTGAGTTCGAATAAGTTATTTTTTATTGTTTAGCATGTACAATTTAGTCTACAATTTAGATTTGCCAAATTAAAAAAAAATGAATAAGTCTTTTAAAAATCGAAATTTGAGACCACGCACAGAAAGATATTGCAATTTTAAAAATTTTGTTTTTCAAAAACCTTCCTGCAGTATATACTGAACGCCCTCATTTTACTGTCAAAATTTTGGTGTCTGACCCTATCAATGCGGTTTGACTTCTCACCCTCCCCGTCACCACATATAGCACAGTTAAGATCCAGGGATGCACACACTTATGTACTTGGACTCAGGCGAAGGCAAAAAGTGGTCTTTAAAACGTTGGCTTACAGGACATTATTTTAGTCCATGTATAGTAACGCCGGTCAGTAAAAACTAGATTTTAGACCTTGTTGAAGCCACAATGGAATGCAGATTGTAACAATAGTAGAAATAATAATAATAATAATAATAATAATAATAATAGCATATATTTAACCAGGGTACAATTTGTATATTATTGATAATCGGCTTCCTGTTTTAATAAGAGCTTTTACTCACAGGCGCCCCCTGATCCTGTGGGGTTTTAATTGTAAATATGTTATTAAGAAATATAAACTTTAT